ATCATCCGGGAAGGATGTTGGAAACTGCTTTACAGAAAGTTGATTCAATTTTTAATTGGATGTGTCAAATGAAGGAGATATCCTGAAGTTATTGGCCAAGGATTACTATAGGATAGCTTTTAGCATGCCAATATGGGGCATAGGAGTTGTTCATTCATTTAAACTGTTCTTTCCAAGTCTCTTTTGTTGAAATTTGATTTGTATGTACTTTGGCCAATGACTTCCTCTGAAAAGATTGTTTGCAACAAGAAGTTATGTAAAGCTACAACATAAGGTCAGGCTAAGACTAAGTACAAGGCATTGCTAGGAAACCAATGAAGGAGTAAGTGATGCTAAAAAGGGACAACTTGCTCGATCAATCACATTTTTCTTTCAGACTCACAGAAAGCCAGCCCCTTTTGTTGGTGGGTTTTTCACTCCTCAGTGGGTATCAGAATTGTTTCGTACCACAGATTGTGTTCGGTAGACCACTATGTGCGTAGCTCAATCACTCGCCAAAACCCAAAAGGGTTTGGGGGGAATGGGTCCCTTAACAAATTTGAGAGTAAATAATGACATCCCCATCTCGCTTCTTGTCCTCCTCTTTCCTTTGTTCTCTCTATTCTCTATGCCAATCATTAGAAGATTGTTTGCAACAAGAAGTTTTGTAAAGCTACAACAAAAGGTCAAATCAGGACTAAGTCTGAGGCATTTCTAGGAAACCAATCAAATAAACAGTCATGCTAAAAAGGGACACCCTGTTTGATCAACCACACTTTGGGTTTTGACTGTGAGAAATGTTATGAAAGGGACTTCTGAAGAACAACAGAAAGAGTTGTCAAGGTTGGAAAAATGAAGCTCTAGCCTTGCTGCCTGGAAAGACTTTTAACTAGACATGCCAGTGAAGCTTCACTTGTCAATGCATATTTGCCTTGATGTAGCCTTTCTGAGTGTCGCGCATTGACAAAGTTGGATGAAAATACTAGTAAATACTTCAGTGACATTAGACCCTTTTATGTTTTTTCCCCTCATGTTCTGAATATTGGTTGCTTCGTTTTCAAACAGTTCTGTCAACCACTCTGTAGACGTGGAATTATCCTCTTACATAAATCAAATGAATAGAAGGTAACTATGCTTTAATCTAGTTCCATTAAAATGTAATTAGGGGAAGGCTGTTTTTGCTTCACACCCTAATCTTTAATTTATGGCACTTTGCCTATGGAGTGAAATTAATGCATAGTGGAATTGAAATTCTGAACCAGGTCAACTTTCTTTGAAGCTTTATTCAGTGGTTGAGTGCTTTTATGACCCTTTTTTATTGTTCCTCTCCCATAGACTACTTGATGTACTTGGAAGATGATGCCCATCATTGAATTCATTTGCCATTCTTTAACGTCTTGCTGAGTAGTTGCTAGTCTTGTACTGTGGAAAGTCCTTTTAATTATAGCAATTTTAACTAATGATTCTTTCCTTGGCAAATGCAGATATGTGGTGATATTCATGGGCAGTTTTATGACATGAAGGAGCTGTTTAGAGTGGGAGGTGATTGCCCAAAAACAAATTACTTGTTTCTTGGTGACTTTGTTGATAGAGGGTTTTACTCAGTTGAAACATTTCTTCTACTCCTAGCTTTAAAGGTGATGAAATTCCCTTTAGATTATTGTATACATGTCTATGGTGCCTAACCATCTCTCCTTCAGGCTAGGATTTGCTTTCTGGGGAGGGAGGAGCTGGCATTAGAATTTCATTAGCTTAGAATTTTTTTTCCCTTTATCTACCTTTCATCATTAAGGTAACAGTCTATCGACAATCTACTAGTTTACTTGTTTGCGATTTATCATGCCTTTAAATGGTTTTAAGTTGAAAGTTCATATATTTATCTTTCCTTTAGAGTGGGTGGTAGCAACCTAATCACTTGGATCTCTAACACTGTATATTGCAATTATGGGCATGTTTCCAAGATGGTTTCATTTCTCCTCCTATAGATTTTTTGTACTTCAAGTCATTATGCTTGCTTCTTTCCCTATGTCTATAGATTTTTGCGTAGTCATTTATCCGTTAGTATACCTGTTTCTTCAACTAGTGGTTGGGAAAATGTCAGGTAAGATATCCAGATCGAATAACGCTAATAAGGGGGAACCATGAGAGCCGGCAGATTACACAGGTCAGTTCATCTTGATTTATGGTATTCAAATTCATAGATGTAATTGTACTTTTCATGTTTATGTTGTAGTTTTTTATTTTACCTTGTTTTTAAACCCAGGTTTATGGATTCTATGATGAGTGCCTGCGCAAATATGGTTCTGTCAATGTTTGGAGATACTGCACTGATATATTTGATTACTTGAGGTTTGCTACTTCCTAGTTGTTGCTTGACAAAATTGTTCATAGATTTTTAGCGGCCTAGTTGCAAGAAGTGTTTACCTAACAATTCCAAGAAGTGTTTACCTAACAATTCCTGTATCCTGATCCTTAATCATCCAAGACATCGGAACTGCTTGACTTGCCCCTACAACTAGCTAGGGTTTTCTTTAAGGATCACTCTGATTTATTGTGACATCCTGCTTTTCCTGAGAAATGCTTGGAAAAATATTGTCTGTTGAACTAGTTGTTTGCTCTTCTCAGGAGAATGACATCTGATGGCTCAAATAATCTGGTTAAATCTCACTGACTTGTCTTGAGGTCCAATCTCCCTGCAGGTTTTGAAAATTACATGGATCTCTCTTTTTGGGTTAGATAACATCATAACATGTTAAACAAGCCTCGTGAACTAATACTAACATCATTACAACTTGCTGGCATTATCAACTGATTTTCTTGTATCTCACAGTACCTTTTTCAAATTATCTTTTCAAAGATTATAGATTGGGGGCTCGCTGTATGGATATTCTGATTCTGTGAAAGACCTGATATTTTCAGAAGGCTTCCCAGAAGAAGACTGTGTAATTCCAAACATTAAGAGACATCCTTGTAATAAAACTTGACGACACAGTAGATTTCTTGTGATCAGAATTTTAGCTACTTATAAATTCACTCGATACCATTGATTTGATTTGCATGAAATTTTGCGCTCTGAATTTTGGTGACAATTTTTTGCAGCCTGTCGGCTCTCATCGAGAACAAGATATTTTCTGTCCACGGAGGTCTCTCCCCAGCAATTTCCACATTAGATCAGGTTTTAAATTTCATCCTGAATTATTAGCTTCTAAATGTGGCTGGAGTGTGTGTCGTTCACACTGTGGTTCTACCTACTTGTCAGATAAGGACAATTGATAGGAAACAAGAGGTACCTCATGATGGTGCTATGTGTGACCTCCTTTGGTCTGACCCAGAAGACATTGTCGATGGCTGGGGTTTGAGTCCTCGTGGTGCTGGTTTCCTGTTTGGTGGCAGTGTTGTCACTTCATTCAACCATTCAAATAACATCGACTATATCTGCCGCGCACATCAGTTAGTAATGGAAGGTTACAAGTGGATGTTCAACAATCAGATAGTTACCGTGTGGTCGGCTCCAAATTACTGTTACAGGTAACATGGGTAACTATGCATTCTTGAGTTCAGTTGCTTGGACTCGATTTTTCTATTTACACAGATGAGTTACAGATGTGGGAATGTAGCTGCAATTCTTGAACTGGATGAGAATCTTAACAAGGAGTTCCGTGTTTTTGAAGCAGCTCCACAGGTCGGTGCTAATTAATGCATCTATGAGGCTGGTGTTTTGTCTGTGTTATTACCTCCTTTCTTTTTCACTTCTGTCTCATGCATTGAATAATAATGGCAAAATGCAGGAAGCTAGAGGAGCTCCTGCAAGAAAACCCCCACCGGACTACTTCCTATGAAATTGGTTTTGGGGGCTTTCATTTTTTGCCAAATTGTACACCCTAGTTAAGCAGATGATGGTATGATTGAAGAGGCTTACGTGTCACGCTCCAAGCAACCAGACTCAACAGCAGTAGCGGTGAAGCTCCTTGGATGACCAGCAAAAACGGTGCTCTTACTATTGCAATGAATTAAAGTTACTGGGTTGCATTTCTTCAAGATTCCACATTCTTTCACCTCCTGTTTTTATTTGTGAAATTGGTGTGTTGCATAGCTTGTCGTTACATATTTCATTGCGTACAAAAATCACAGACGATCACTTTAAAAGAGAAATGAGAGAGATGATCAAAGCAAATGAGCGGATTCAAGACGGCGTGTGATGTTAAAACTCCATTTTTCGCTTTTGCTATTTTAGTGAAGAGATCGTTTCATCAGCCACGTTGGCGCAGCGAAATATCTCAATTTCTCACGTCTCAGAAATCTTGGTAGCTGCTAGCACACGACGGTTAATATTTTTTGAGCAGAAAGGCAAACTGAGTGTGGGACATTGTGATGCAGGCTCCGAGTACGTGCATTTCCTCCTAATGCTGAAACAGGTCTGAATATTCGCAGAAACGAGCTTAAAACAAACGAGTTTGGCATTGAAAATAGCAAAAATGGTTCAGGATGAAAGAAAAGCTCTGGTCTAGGCTTTATCACTATCGTTGGCCTTAGAGTTAAATCTGATCAATGTCGTCATCCCCGAACTCAAGATAGCTATCACCATGGCCATCATCATGATCATCCATCTCTCCAGCAATCCCCTCATTGAGTCTGACGTTATCCGGCAGCTCACCATAAGCCTTCAAGAGCCTGGCTTCATCGGGCATGTACTTGAGGATGACATCAGCCTTGTCGTCCTGATAGTCCCGGAGGCCAACGAGGATAATGTCGCCGGTGGTGATCCAGACCTTCTTGTGCATTTTCCCTCTAATGTGACAAAGTCTCTTGTTCTGGTCAATGCACATGGCTTCACAGCGGCCATTACCTAACATGCGCAAAACCTGGGCATACTCTTGGCCGTCTTCTTTGAAAACCAGCTCTCGCTTCTCGTCGTCCGCCTCATTCTTTCCTCTCTTCCTGTTCTTGCCACCTTTGCCCTTGTTTTTTGGCATGATGAATGAGGTGAAACTATAAAACTGCAAGTGCAAATGGGCTCTTCTTTAGTGGGGGATGCGGCGGGCGGGGGGCGGGGAATTTGCTATTTTTACGGATATTTTGTGGCTTGCGAGTAAGGCTCTGCCCAGGAGGATTCTGCCAGTCCCTTTGATTTGACAGTGGACAAAAGAGAACCCAGAATCCTGATTAGGTGTGTCTCTATGATTTGCTGCTATTGCTCCGGATCCGTTTGCTACAGAGTGAAGGATACAGTCCTGTACAACTCCAACCCATGATATTGATAGCCCGCTACACGATTAAAATACGGAAAGGAAAAAAAAAGAAGAAGGGGGTTTTTAGAAGAAAATACCCGATAAAGGGACTTGGCATTGCCAAATATGAAGTCTACGGAGCCTTGAATGAAACACTCTTCATAGAAATGTAACCCAGATTCATCCAGCAGCGTATCCTGTGTCCCTAAAATCCTAACTCTATACAGCCACGCTTTATCACCTTTTAATCTCAATGCCACAGCTTGCATATTGTTGGTTCCAGGAATTGCGACCGAATTCTGCAATAATAAATCCATGGAGGAGGAGAGGTACTAAGAAATTAATCAGTCTGTCCCAGAATTAACTCTCAACCTCGTATTTAACTGAGAGATTTTGCAGCAGAGACAACTAATTATTAGTACCTCGAATGTGACCTCTCTTGCACCAAAGTAATCGGATTCCACAGTAACGGAAGCCGTTCCAAAGGTCCCTATTTCATTACCATCTGCGTCTTTATCAGATGCTTTGTCGTGCCAAGTAATAACGGTTTCGGATGCTCGACCTTCCTCTCCAATGAAAGAAACGTACGGTTTGGATTTTGGCACACGCACCTTTTCTCTGTCCAGCAATTTTAACCAGGCACCGAGGTCCATGCATGCACAAAATATATAACAAGTTAATTAACAAAACAAACGAAAATGGCTAGCCCACTAACTATGTTAATAACTTCCATGAACGCTAGCTACAACCCACGTCCTATTTTCTTGTCGTTGCATGCAAATATACTTGGGGAAAATGCAATGACTCTTGCTGGAAAGAAAATCTGCGCTTCAACCTTCCAAGGGGAGGGAAGATATCAAGAAAAAGTAAAACGTGCGGAAAAACACACATAATCACGGAAACAAGCATGAATTCTGCACAAATAAATGATGCATCACCATGTTAAGAGGAACCTGTATATTCCTGGAAGAATGTAAATTTTATGTCTCAACTGATTGTGTTCGGGAACAAGATCAACAGCACCCTGAACTGTAACTGAATCTCCTCCGCCATTTTTATCAACCACAATAACTTTGCTAGGTTTTCTTTGATCCAAGTCTAACCCTTGATCACTCTCATCAGCCACTGTCAAGTCATCCCACTCAATATAGTGCTTCTCAAACTCTTCCACAGCGTAAACCTTAGAAGGACCTTTTGGAACGTCACCCCAAAACAAAAGAACTAATAAAACCAAAGTCCCGCAAGTACTAAAGCAACTCAAATTCATCATCTTCACAACAAAAAGAATAATATCTTGGTGGTTAATTTGACGAGTAAAGAAAGCAGAGCTTTGCAACCCGAAAAAACTTGTGATCAAGGGAAGAAGGCCATAAATGTGGGAGCGTCCTGGAAGGAAACTGTGTACTACATACAATATATACGTCATGTGAAGAAGTAGAAGTTTAATACAAAGATGGTGTGCGTTTAGTCTATGGAGAGAAATGAGGACTGTTGAGGTCATTAAGTATTAAATGCGTTGAGCACAATTATGCATTTGTGCTACCTAAAGGACCAACGTACGTTAAAAACCATTGGGTTCAGTTTTTAATTTAAGATATTTGGCTGTAGAGTGGAGAAAAGGAGATTTGTTGAAGAGTAGTTATGGAACTTCAAGAGGTGGTGGACAGTTATGGTTTCTTTAGCTAAGAGGTGGAAGTGGAACTGGAACAGCTCTTCGACTCTGATGTTTTAAACCACGTCTAGGACCACTTGTCTTTGATTTCAGGTGCATTCGCCATTGGGTACTGGAGATGAAGTCGGATTTTGAAATTTAATCTGAGAGGGAGAGGGCATGTATGTAATGTATGTACATCAGAATTACCTAATATTTGGTGCTGTTGGGCCAAAATTTTTACACTAATACTCGCTGTATTTTTTGTTTCATCTTTGGGAACAAAGTAAGAAATTTCAAAATCACGTTTGTGGGTGGGAATGAAGGAGATTATATAGGTTTTAGTTGAAGTATTACTGAATATTATTTTTCAAATTTTCTCATTTTCTTTTTCTTTCCTTTTTTTTGGTTTTTTGGGGTGGTGGTTGTATACTTGTATGGAGTATTAAAGAAAACTAGGCCTCACTTATTACTTGAAATTTTTTTTTTTTTTTTTTGTCTACTAAACCTGATTAAAACAACTTAAATCGACCAAAATCTTACAAAGCTTAACAAGACGATTCAATCGTTCAGTTACTTAATGAATAAAATGTAGTTTTGGTATTCAAAGTTTGACTCTTCAGCGATTCTGGTACCCGAACTTTGGACAAAAATAAATTCGATACTCAATGTTATAATATTTGAGCACATTTGATGAATTTTTTCAAATTTCTATGGAAAAGGTCATGCGTTGTTTCATGCCCAACAATAAAATTGTAACAAAATTATGAAAGAATTGGAAAATAACCTATTAACCTAGTTGCCGATTTAAGGAATAATAAAACATGGGTGACTCATTTAAAAACAAAATGAATTAACACGAGAAATACCCAATTGAGCTAATCATATACACTCAAAGCTCCCATCTCCTCCCCTCTTCTCCTCCTCGCACCCTCTGATAAAAAGGCACCAAAAAAAAAAAAAAAAAAAAGGAACAAAACTTTGAGACCTCTATTTTAATCCAACATTTATGGATTCAACCATGAAACCGTAAGAAAAATTAATTTCACATGAAGAGGTAGAAGCAATAATTGAAGATTCTTCAATTAGATATAAACGTAGAATTTCTTTTCGATTTCATTACTAGAAATGTGATAGCACGTGATTTTTTGCAATAAGAATTTGATTTGCTTAAATATTATAACATTTGATATTAGATTTATTTTTGTCCAAAATTTGACTACCAAAATCGCTAAAAGATATAAAGTTTGGATATCAAAACTGCATTCTACGCTTAGAAAGTTATGATCGTTATTCTTATCCATTAATATTTCACTTCTCTCTTCTCTCTAATATAGACTTCTTCTTTGGCATACTAAAACATCATTTGTACGATTCATCCAAATTTTTGAAAAGATCTTATTGATCTATGATCACACTGATCGAACGTAAACATCATTCTTCTTTGATATCATATTGATCTCTACGATTGCACCAGAATAACTTTGAATCACCTTTAAACTTAATAATCAACTAAGAACCAATACGAAGATTCCTAGAAGAATGATTCCGACTTTATTTTAGCTCATCATGTGATTTTTTTTTTTTTTTTTTGTCGACACAGGGTGTGATTTTTTTAGCTCATCATGTGATTGAACCTTATGAATTGCAGCTTGCGCCGTAGTAAAGCTGCCCTTTCCTTTCTGATCAGCCACGGCGTTGGCTTAATATCAAGAGGCCGTGGGCTCAAGTCATATACGAGAATCTCATGCCAATAGAAATTCGTCAACAAAACCACAACCCACATTTTAGAATTACTTGACTTTAGTATCTATCATTTGTCCAAAGAAAAAAAAAGATTAATTTGTTGGTGTGCTTGATCTCTCTCAAACAAACATTGAACTAGAAAGAAACATCTGTAGAGGAGTAAAACTTAAAAGTACCACAAGTTGGGGTTGGGCTAAACTTGGGCCTAAATCAGAGGAATCTTACGTGGATAAAATCGCCCTAACTTTGGGTCCGAGGTACAATCTGTAAATAATGGGCTCATCCCAGTTCATATTTTACCCAATAGTACTGGACCCACCCACTTCTACTCCTACAAATGTACCGACTAAATATGCATTGGCCCATACAACACATGGTGTCAACAGAAATGAAAATAAATAAAAATTCGAAAATTCTAAGGATAAACCTCAAAATTTGCAAAGCTCGCTCTGCAGGACGAATTGCTCCCAGCTTCCCATACTTCATAGACAACGCCTGAACCAAAATTGGAAAACTAAGAAAAGAAGTGAAGCTGAATTCAAAAAATTAAGTAATAGCTATGTCATCTTCGTCACTTTCTACCACACTTTTTCCAATATGCAATTCGTCTTCCACCACAATCTCTGCAAAACCCAAGCTTTCTCTTCTTTCTTTGCCTTCAAATGAGGCAAAACTGCCGACCCTTTTTGGAAAATCCTCTCGATTTTTAGTTTCAACAGTCTCTGCTGCCCCTGAAGTCTTGGACACTGCTGACTCCACTGGCTTTCAGGTTTCATTTTTCGTTTGCTAATTCTTTTTATTTTTTGGCTTTTTGTAGTCTATTTTAGTTAAATATTGATCAAGATTGTATTTTGAACTTTGCGGTTGAGGAGTGTTCTTTTGTGGGGTTTTCAGGGTGAGGATTCTGGTGTTGAAACGTTGAGTGCAGGTGGTGACTCTGATAGGGTGAGCCCATTATGAATTCTGACTAGAAACTTTCCGGGTCTCTTTTTCTTTTTTCCCTTTCCTTTTTTTTTTTTTTCTAAAGGGTGGTTATGGTCTTTGGTTTAATAGATTTCTTGGATATCTGAATTATATCACCATGATATTGTGCTGATACGTGGTAAATATGACGTGTTCTTTTTTTTGCATTTTGAATTTTCATCAATAATGTCTCTAGCTGCGTTTTGCGCTTCCGAAATTAAGCAATTCAATGCAACTCTGAGCCAATACATTTCCTGAACAAAAGATCCTTTTTGGCAAATTTAAGGAACAAAAATGATATTCTAAAGATCGATTTTTGGAATTTCAGTTATTCTGTTATAATGTATTGAGGAGGTTCGCAGTATATGCTACTTCTTCACAGGTTTTGTCAGATTTGAGTAATCTCTTGGGAGCAGCAAAAACGAACCTACTAGTCACAATGGCTTTAGTCAGCTGCTAGATACTTGAGCGGCAACATGAGAGTTTGCCAAACTCGTATATGCAATTGTTGAAGATTTTTCATAGATATACTTACCTTGTTATTCCTTGCCAACATTAATAGGTTTGATTCTTAATTTTATTTGTAAACTCCTCTGATGTAGATTCCATTGACCGTCACTAGCTTGGGAATTATTTTCTCAATTTAATTTGATTTTATATACAAAGTCATGACAACTCTACGTCAAGAAGAAAGTTTTATATGAAATGCTTCATCAAGAATCAGTGAAAGGGTGCCTGATATATGGGTCATTTCAGTTTGGTCTTCAATTTCCTTGCTTAATTGTGCTTCATATTTAGAGCTTTGCCTTACTAATACTGTGCTGGTTGGCTGACAATGTTTGTCTTGAAGTTTCAGCTTGACGGACCATTTGATTGGTTTTGTCTTTCTATCTCCAAGTAATTTCATAAATCATTTCCTTAGTTTCCTCCCTCAGTTGACAAAAGATGATTATATTATTTACATGATGCATGAGAGTTCTTAGTTTCCTCCCTCAGTTGACAAAAGATGATTATATTACCTACATGATGCATGAGTTCTGGTATCAACTGTCACAGAATCGGGCTTTGCCCATCATTATTACATGAGATGATTCCATATTCAGATTTGCTGCACTAGCAAACAAAGCTGGAAATGTGAGGTCATCTTTTGAGATACCTCTCCAAGGTAGATAATATTACTGAAAACCAACATTCACTAGTTTAGGTATCTCAACCTCTCACTTATTCTGCTTTCTGCATGTCCAAAGCTTTCTCATAACTGAGACACATGACTATCATGAAATTGATCTTGTCCTTGGGCCTCCTGTGATTGGATTGCTACAACATCACCAACCGATTAATTAGTGGAATGCTTACGTAATCGCATTCTATATAGGAGGATATATAAAGATTTACATGGCTCTGGGAGCTAGTTCTTGTCCTGTGGATAACTATTGGAACTTGGGAAACTTTCTATCCAGACTGAAATCAAGTTACAGCATCACACAGAGGAAGAAGAAACTAGCAAAAAACAGGCTAATCAAATTGCTATCTGATGGCCTAAATGTTTAACAGTCGAAAATTGCAAAGCCTTTTTACAGATGAAAGTTTTGAGCCATTTATAGCTGTACTTGCTGGATTTTATTATCTAAGAAAGACATGTACTGTAGGTCTATACTTACCAAAAAAACACGTTTTCAGGTAGCACCAAAGCAGAAGATTAGGATCAAATTGAGGTCATATTGGGTACCCCTGATAGAAGACTCATGCAAGCAGATAATGGATGCTGCAAAGAATACAAACGCAAAGACAATGGGTCCTGTGCCGTTACCAACCAAGAAGCGGGTATATTGTGTTCTGAAATCTCCCCATGTCCACAAAGACGCCAGGTTTCACTTTGAAATCAGAGCTCATCAACGTCTTATTGACAT